AAGTAAAATAGTCTCTACTTACAGGTGACATGATTTTATATGCAGAAAACACTGAAGACACCACCAAAAAAAAAAACTCATTAGTTCTAATCAAGAAATTCAGTAGAGTTGTAGGATACAAAATTAACGTTCAAAAATCAGTCACAAACAAATTATCTGAAAAATAAATAAATAACCCCATTTATAATATCATCAAACCAATAAAATACCTAGGAACAAATTTAACCAAGGAGGTGAAAGATCTGTACACTGAAAACTTTTAAGATACTCATGAAACAAAACAAGGAAGACACAAATGGAAAGGTATCTTGTGTTCATTGACTGGACGAATTAATATTGTTAAATTGTCTGTGTTACCAAAGCCATCTATAGATTCAATGTAACCCCTATCAAGATTCCAATGGCATTTTTTTATAAAAGAAAAAATGCTCTGAAAGTTCCCAACCTGCTGGGCTGAGTGTGCCAGGATGATTTTGTCCACCTCTCCTTTCTCCTGAGCAGCAAGCTCTGTGCAATTCTTGCCCCTTTTGCAGCCCTCTCACTGTTGGGAAGTCTCTCAGACTGTCCGTCTTTCTTTTGTCCCATGGCAGTTAGACAACACAAAGTAATAAAAGGCATCCAGATTGGTAAGGAAGAAGTCAAACTGTCACTGTTTGCAGATGATATGATATTGTACATAAAAAACCCCTAAAGAATCCACTCCAAAACTACTAGAATATCTGAATTCAGCAAAGTGGCAGGATACAAAATTAATACACAGATATCTGTTGCATTCCTATACACTAATGATGAACTAGCAGAAACAGAAATCAGGAAAACAATTCCATTCACAATTGCACCAAAAAGAATAAAATACCTAGGAATAAACCTAACCAGGGAAGTAAAAGGCCTATATCCTGAAAACTACCCCATGCTCTTGGGGAGGAAGAATTAATATTGTCAAAATGGTCATCCTGCCTAAAGCAATCTCAGATTCAATGCAATCCCTATCAAAATACTGACAGCATTCATCAACAAATTAGAACAAATAGTTATAGTTCTAAAATTCATATGGAACCACAAAAGACCCCGAATAGCCAAAGCAATCCTGAAAAGGAAGAATAAAGCAGGAGGGGTCACACTCCCCAACTTCAAGTTCTACTACAAAGCCACAGTAATCAAGACAATTTGGTACTGGCACAAGAACAGACCCATACATCAATGGAACCTAATAGAGAGTCCAGATATAAACCCACACATAAATGGCCAATTTATATACAATAAAGGAGCCATGGATATACAATGAGGAAATGACAGCTTCTTCAACAACTGGCATTGGCAAAACTGGACAGCTACATGTAAGAGAATGAAATTAGATTATTGTCTAACTCCATACACAAAAGTAAACTCAAAATGGATCAAAGACCTGAATATAAGTCATAAAACCATAAAACTCTTAGAAGAAAACATAGGCAAAAATCTCTTAAATATAAACATGAGCAACTTTTTCTGAACACATCTCGGGCAAGGGAAACAAAAGCAAAAATGAACAAGTGGGACTACATCAAACTAAAAAGCTTCTGTACAGCAAAGGACACCAACAGACCAAAAAGCCATTGAACAATATGGGAGAATATATTTGTAAATGACATACCGGCAAGGGGTTAACATCCAAAATATATAAAGAACTCACAAGCCTCAACACTGAGAAAGCAAATAACTGGATTAAAAAATGGGTGGAGGATATGAACAGACACTTCTCCAAAGAAGAAATTCAGATGGCCAACAGGCACTGGAAAAGAAGCATCACGTTGCTAATTATCAGGAAATACAAATTAAAACCACAATGCAGTATCACCTCACACTAGTTAGGATGGCCAACATCCAAAAGACAAGGAACAACAAGTGATGGTGAAGATGTGGAGAAAGGGGAACCCTCCTACACTGTTGGTAGGAATGTAAAATAGTTCAACCATTGTGGAAAGCAACATGGAGGTTCCTCAAAAAACTAAAAATGGAAGTACCATTTGAACCAGAAATTCCACTCCTAGGAATTTACCCTAAGAAAACAAGATCCCAGATTCAAAAAGACATATGCACTTCTATGTTTATTGCAGCACTATTTACAATAGCCAAGACATGGAAGTGACCTAAGCGTCCATCAGTAGATGAATGGATAAAGAAGATGTGGTACATATACATAATGGAATATTATTCAGTCATAAAAAGAAAACAAATCCTTCCATTTGCAACAACGTGGATGGAGCTAGAGGGTATTATGCTCAGTGAAATGAACCAGGTGGAGAAAGACAAGTACCAAATGATTTCCCTCATTTGTGGAGTATAACAACAAAGCAAAACTGAAGGAACAAAACAGCAGCAGACTCAGACTCCAAGAAGGGACTAGTGGTTACCAAAGGGGAGAGGTGGGGGAGGGTGTGGGGGGAGGGATGGAGAAGGGGATTGAGGGGTATTATGACTGGCACACATGGTGTGTGAGGGTTCACAGTGCAGCACAGAAGACAACTAGTGACACTGTGGCATCTTACTACACTGATGAACAGTGACTGCAATTCGGTGTTGGGAGACTTGATAATATGGGTGAATGTAATGACCACAATGTTGCTCATGTGAAAACTTCATAAGAGTGTATATCAATGATACCTTAATAAAAAAATTTTTTTTTAAATATAAAACTCAAACATACGGCTTTTGGTATCTACCCAAGATAAATGAAAATATATATTCAAAGGCTTACATGACACTTCATGGCAGCTCTATTTCTAATACTAAAAAATTGGAAAACAAACTTAATGTAATCAACAGGTCATATAGTTTGGTATATTTATACCATATATAAAATTATTAAGAGTAAACTGCTGTCACATGTAACAATGTGGATGAATCTCAAAATAACTGTATTGAGTTACAGAAGACACATTTTTAAAAAGACTAAAAAGTTCTAAGAAAAATGCAAATAAGTTACCTGGAGATGGGGGTTAGAAGAAAGGCATGAATCTTAGAGAGACACAAGGAAGCTTTAGGGGGGTGATATATTCATGATCTTTATAATGATGATTATTTCACAGGTATACACATCATCAAATTTTATACTTTAAATATGTACAGGTTTACTGCATGTCAATTATACCCCAGTAAATGTGAAAAAATATATATTGAAATATATATACCTAAAAATATGCAAATAAAAAAAATGTGCCACACAATTAAAGTATCACTTTGAAGGTTCCTTCTTTGACCAGCCTTGTTACTGAGTTAACAATAAATCTTTTCAAAGAACCAGATTTTGGTTTTATTTTCTCTATTGTCTGTTTTCTATTTTCCCTGAATTATGCTTCTTATTATACTCTTATGTCTACTTGTTTCAGTTTTTAATTTGCTCTTTTTCCTTATTAAATTGAAAGCTTTGACCATTGATTTTCAACCCTTTTTTTTTTCTAATACAGTATTCAAAAGATAAAATTCCTGGATGAAAAGTTTATCTTGAATAAATCTAAACTGTTTTTATGGTGTGTTGCTGGTTTTACTTATTTTTTTATTTTATTGGAGAATCATTGATATACAATATTATATTGGTTTCAGGTGTACAACATAGGAATTAAACAGTTGTGTACATTACAAAGTGTTGATGGCTTTAAACTAAGTTGTTCACCAAGTTCTCATTACCTGAATTTGCAAAATGACTAGCCAGAATTAGGAGTCATTTATTGTTATGGAAACAGGTTTTTCCTTCTACTTCTCTAATGTATGTGCTAAAAGAGAGATCAAATCTACAACCATTATCAGCAAATCCTGACATACACACGTTGTTTCTTCATGTTACATATACATTATATTGTCTTCAAAATCTCTTCAGAATGCACCAAACTGGAAATAATACTCTAATAAAATGCTAATTATTTGCAGGTTTGTAAAATTACTTCCTAACTTGTTCACGTATAACTTCTCTTAACATACTCCAGTCATCATGCTGTCAGTGACAGCTCTTGAACGTGAACATACTCTCAACATATGGCATAAACTATCTCACAAAAGAGATCTTAAAAGTCTACAGTCACTGTAACATATTTGCCTCTGTTACAGCTTTTGGAGGATTTATCAACAACAGTTTAGTTCTATATCCTATAAGTGTTATTCACTTAATCCAAAATGTATCATGTGTGTGTAATGAGGGTGGCTCTTAATTTAATCATCCAAGCCATTATTAAATCATTAAATATTGTCCTAAGGGAGAGATTTCACTGGAGTATCACTTTCAGGTTGAAAAAGACTAATAGCCAATATTTATACAGTGTACAAAAGGCCTTCTCATACACCGATATTGGAGCCTTCATTCATTCAACAGATAATTCAGGAATTGAGTGCTAATTCAATGCAATCATTGGCTAGAAACTAGGGATAACAACAGTGATCCTCACAATAACACCTTAACAGTGGTTATCAAAACGTCTCACAACAAGGCGCATCGGCATCACTTGGGAACTTGTTAAAACTGCCCATTTTCAGGCTTTACCTCAGAACTACTGAATTAGGAACTCTTGGCTTGGGGCCCAGGATTCTATGTTTTAACAAGCCCACCAGGTAATTCTGATACATGCTCAAGTTTGAGAGCCACTGCCCTCAAGTAAGCAGCCTCTTTGCATTATAGATTGGAAAACTGAGGATCAGAGAAGAGATACAGACTTGAGATACAAGAGTCTTTTTCCACCATTTGTCCCCAGAGATTAGAAAAGCATCTGGCATATAATATGTGTACACAAAAAAGATCTGTTGAATGAAAAAAAAAAGAATGAATCCTCCAAAAAGTTGTGCTATTATCCAATTATGGTAATACCCAAGCAATATAATCCTAACTTACTATGTACACATTGATAATGAATGTATTTCTTCTGAAAAGAGAAGTGGTATGACATCAAGAATTATTTTTAAAAACTATTATTTTTGACCCTTGCATAAAAGAAGTTAAAGGAGATCACTACCCGAAACTATTATTTCCATACCTTGTTATTTTGCCTTAATTTACTTAACTCCAATTTATACTTTTCTGCTTCCTCTAGAGCTCTATTCAAGCGAACTTCTGTAGCACTTTGATTAGTGGCAGCCTGTTTTTGTAGTCTTGTTTTACTTTGTAATTCCTGTATAGTAAAAGAGATATATGGAACATTTATAAATATACCATAAGTTCTATTATTTTACAACATTTTCCATGACCATATTCCTTATTTTCTCCTACATTTATACATAATACACACACACACATACACACAGCATGCCAGAGGTTGAGCACTGAGTGACAGAAGTCTCAGGAAATTCTAACCCTGACAAGTTTTAAGGAAATATATTCTTAAAGATGTAGCTGCAAATTAGGCTTTCAAACTTCTTTTTGGTTTGGAATTTTCTGCCTGTTTTTATTGACTCCAAAATAAAATATACATGTCCTGCACATTTGTTTTATAAGCAATTCTTTATTACTATTGTTCTTCCTTTGGAAACCTCCCAAAATACTTATGTAAGGCACAAACTCTCTTATAAATACTGTGTTTATGTAAGCCTGAAAAATACATCACTTAAGATGTTTTTGTTAAATACAGAGCATTTACATTAGCCTTATAGGAAAATCCCAATTCTGAACAAAAACAACAGATCTTACGGATTATTTTCCACATCTTGGGGTGGATTTAGGCCTGCACTTCTGCAAACAGTCTGAGATACTGTTGTAGAGAGTCTACAGGCCACACTTGAAGAAACAAACATACAGGATAAACTCCAAACTCTACCATAACTTGGTACTATAAATTTGTTCTCATGCCGCAGATGTTACCTTTGGCTCTGTCAACATCACTTGACTCTGTTCCAAACAGCCAAGATGTTCCTTGCCTGAGCCTTTGCTCACATTCTTCCTTGTGCCCTGACCCCGCCCTATTCCTCATCTTCACTGGCTAGCACCTACCTATCTTTTAAGACTCAACTAGTGCTTTATACTAGGGTTCTACCTCTTTTCAAGAAGCTTTCCTCAGTATCTTCCTCACTCTCTTCCCTGGTTGGATTAGGTTCCCCTTTTCCAGAGCTTCTATAACACCTCGGTATACATACATCATAGTACCTGCTGTGTAGAACTAAAGCTATCCATTTACTTCATTTCCCCCATTACAATGTAAGTTCCTTGAGGATAGGAACTGTCTAATTTCTGTATTCCCAGCACTTTAGTGGCAGGTAAAAGGCACTAGTTTACTTAACCAAATTTATTTTGTAATAACAACTTACTCTTCTTTGCAACCCCTACAATGCCTAGTACAGAGCCTTATACAAAACAGATACTTAATAAATATCATGGGATTGAAATGATGCAGTTAAAAACACAGTTGTCTGTTTTCTTCTTTTATAATTTTTTTCTCCTGGCTGTTATCACTATGTTTTATTTAAAAACTGATCTCCCTGGCTCTGAGTAATTAGGGGCAAAACAAAACAAAACAACACACATGCTGCTCTTTATGTACATTTCTAAACAAACCAAACTGTGTATGGATACCATCTGCTTTCACCAGCCTTCTTCACAGCTTTGTGGGTGGTAACTGCACTAAGAACAAGCTGGTTTTATCTCACTGTTCACATGGAAAACGCAGAGATTCTCATTAGTTACAAAGTCCACAATTTTTGCTGCTTCATTTCAGCCTCCTCTCACAGAAATATGGAAATGGATCTGTGCCCTTCTCTTTCCTCCTGGTGACTTTGTAACTTACTACACAGAAAAATGAAAGCCACCCTCTACTAAATGATAACTCCCTACCCCTGCATCAATATTGACCATTTCTTGGGAGAAGTGAAAAAGAAAAAGAATAGCCAGAAGAACAGTAAAGGAGGACATAAAGTATTCCTATATGAGTAAATCCACTAAAGAAAGAGAAAAACCTTATCAAAACCTTGGAAACATTTCTGTTTTCAACCATACACAAGTACTTTTTACAAAGTTCAGACAAGATACTGAAAGTGTTATGAGAGCACCTGCATCCTGAAAATAATAAAGTGAATCTATTGTTAACAAAACAATCAGGCAGTTTACATAGTGCTAGAGAAAAATTTTCTGAAAAATCTCAAGCCCTGAACTTTACATTAATTTTAAAAGAAAAGGCTGGATAGCTTAAAAAAAAAAACAAGTCTAACTTTAAAATTCAAATACTACAAGGTCAAAGAGGAAATAATTTGCCACTCTCTCATCATTTTTAAAGCATTCCTAAGGCACTGAAAGAGGGCAAGGAGAGAAGTATCTATCAGTAGACACTGCACAAGATAAAATGTAAATGTTTTAAGAGTAACACAAATTACCATAGTAATTCGGATGAAGAACAAGCAAGATGACACAAACGATCAGATAAGGTTCTAGAAACAAGTGGCTTAAGCACAAAAAGCAATAAACTTAGAACCAGAGAACCAGCCAGCTGTGGCAGACTGTTCCCACATCCAAAACTGGGAGTAACAGTATCTATACTAAATAGGTTTTACTTATTCAACACATTTATCAAGCACTTCTACATGCCAGGCACTTCTACATGATGGGCACAGAATAGTTAACCAAAGTTCCTCCTCTCATAAAGCTTGCATTACAGAGGAAGGGATAGATCGCATATACATACAGCACACACACACACTCACTCATCTGTAATATATGGTAGTGATTTAAGGGTTATGAAGAAAAATAAAGAAGGGTAAAAGGACAGAGCAATGGGGGCAGGGAGGTGTGAATACTTATTTAAGACAGAGTAGTTAGGGGAAGACTTTCAATCATGTGAAAATGATTAACATAAAGATCTGGAGGAAAGAATTACAGACGGGAAGAACAATGAAGACAAAGCATTCATAAGGCACTGAGAGAGGGCGAGGAGTAAAGTATGTATCAGTGGACATAGACTTGAGGCGGGAATTCAAAGATCAATGAGGTGGTGAGTGTGGCTTCAGTTGAGCGACACAGGCACAGTATTAGGTATTAAGAGAAAAAAGCAGGGTGGGCTTAGGTAGGCCTTGCAAACCCCGCTAGGAGTCTGTACTGTATTCTCAATGGCATGGAACGTCTTTGGAGGATTTTCAGTAAGGCGTGCATGTGTGTATGTATGCCATGAGCTAAGTTGTTTAAGGATTACTCTAGCTAACATGGTATTCTACTGAGTACAAGAATACCAATTTGGAGGTCATTGGAATAGTATAAGTGAAAGATAGCTTGGACGTGGGTAAAATAGTGAGTTTTTAGTAAGTGGTTAATTCTATGTATTTTAAAGACAGAATTGACAGGACCTGTTGGTGGGCAGGATCTAGGTGTGGGGAAAGAGAAGGATCCAGATGACTCTTGGATTTTGGCCTGAACAACTGGATGTCTTTTACTGAGACGGGCAAAAGGAGAAGCAGGTTTGTAGAGGTCAGGGAAGCAGAAGCTCCACTTGAACACAGGAAGGTTGACGTACCAAGCAGATGTACAAAGGGGGTAGCAAGAGATGAGTCTGGAGTCAAAGAAGAGGTGAGAGCAAGAAATAGAACGTAGGGGTGATCAACATATGTATTGTATATAAAGCCCTGGAAATGAATGAGAACATCTAAGCATTGGACGTAGACAGAGAAAAGAGTCAAAGACTGAGTACTGGATGTTTCAACATGTAAAGGTCATGAAAATGAGGGAGAAAATCATGAGTGTGGTGCTCCAAAGCCAAATAATAGTGTTTCAAAGTAATATGTGAAATATTGCTGAGATATAAATTATTACAAGGAATAATAATTGACTAGAACTGGCAATGTGGATTACTGGTGACCTTGCTGAAAAGGTTTCAGAGGCAAAGTAGAGACAAAAGCCTAACCAAGTAGTTTCAGGAGAGAATGGCAAATGAGGAATAGATATTGAACAAAGACAAATATTTTAAGAAGCTTCGCTATAAAGGAAAGCAATGAAAGAGAGCTAGAGGTAGATGTGAAATGTTTTGAAAAATATTTATTAAAGATTCTATAGCATGTTTGTATGTTAATATGAATAACCCAATAAAGTAAATTTCATTTTTGCAGGAGAAAGAAAGACAGGATAATTACAGGAGTAAAGTCCCTGAGCAGGAGAGAGGGTAGGGGATCCAGTGAACAGTTCTTTAGTGAAGAGTCTAACACTTTAGACAGAAGAGGTAATAACTCCTTGCAATGAAGGGGAAAGCAGAGTAGATGAGTATAGTGGTTGATGGGTAACAATGATAGAAGGAAGAAAAGTTACCTTTTGATTCTGTTTTCTTAGTAAAATGGGGCAAAGTAATGAATTGAAAATGGGACGGTTGGGAGACATATTAGAAAGATGAGAAAAGATCTATTTAATAATGACTTCTTAAAGTGGAAGAGGGAACTGAGTTCTCAAAAAGTGGGAGAGGAAAATGCCATTACACTTCAGATTTGTAAATACATTTAAAGTGGGACCAATTCACTTGGCTGTGTTATTTCTGTCCAGCCACAATCACTGCTCATGAGTAGGCATGCCACAGTAAAATTGTTTAACTAGGGTTGGGTTTTGTACACACACTACATTGGCAAGGAAATTAAAAACATATGCAAGGCATAATTAAGTGCTATACCATGGAACCTGTGTGAGGGAAGAAGGCAATAAAGAACATGGGGGAAGGGGTAGATCTATATAATAAAAATACATGACTAACATATGCACCCCTATGTTTATCGCAGCACTATTTACAATAGCCAAGAAATGGAAGCAACCTAAGTGTCCATCAGTATATGAATGGATAAAGAAGATGTGGTACATATCACAATGGAATATTATTCAGCCATAAGAAGAAATAAATCCTACCATTTGCAACAACATGGATGGAGCTAGAGGGTATTATGCTCAGTGAAATAAGCCAGGCAGAGAAAGACAAGTATCAAATGATTTCACTCATCTGTGGAGTATAAGAACAAAGAAAAAACTGAAGGAACAAAACAGCAGCAGACTCACAGAACCCAAGAATGGACTAATAGTCACCAAAGGGAAAGGGACTGGGAAGGATTGGGGGGAAGGGAGGGATAAAGGGAAAAAAGGGCATTATGATTAGCACACATAATGTAGGGGGTGGGGTATGGGGAAGGCAGTATAGCACAGAGAAGACAAGTAGTGATTCTATAG